AAAGAGCAGCTGCAGTGTGCAGGAACAAACAACACAACTCATTCTTGGGAGCCAAAACTTTCTAATTTGCTGCTGGGCTGCTGGGAGCACTCAAATTCTTTCTGATAATGTGCTCGTGCCCTCGGTGTCTCTCTCTGCGTTTCTGCTCTCCAGAATCTGGAATAGTTTCACTCCAAACAACAAACGTGGACGCTGCTGAACAGGGAGGAGGAGGGGAACACAGCCACCCAGTGTTTGCAGACTCCAGCACAGCAAAGTGGTGGACTCGAGGCAAGTTCTGCCATGGAATGGCTGCTGCACGTATCTGCTTGTGCAGTGGGTAAACAAAGCATCACATGGGCTGCAGGCTGAGCACGAGGCGCGTGGCTGACCTGTACGTTTATGAGGCATTCAGGAGGGGCAGCGTATTCGTGGGATATTCAGGAACTTCGCTCAAAAAATTCAAACAAACAAAACAAACCTCAAATTGATTATAACTGAAAAATTGTTTGGCTTGATTTCTCCTGTCTTTCCACAAGTTTCAGTGACTATTTACATAAGCAAATTTCTACCTTGCCTTGCATTGGAAGCAGCTTGTAAGTATGTTCATCAAAATATCAGTCAATTATAATGTAACTTGTTGCACCTGTTTGGACCTCATTAGTTACTAATTGTAACCGTGGCTTTACAGCTGTGACTGTGCAGGTGCTCAGCTCCAGACCTGACTGCACATAGGACATTTCAAACTAGAAATTAAAATCACTGCGTGTGTTTCACAACTGCTCTCATAGACCAAACCTTTGTGCTAGAGCTTGTACTGTCACAAGAAAGGGAAATTAATTTTGGATTGATGCTGCTCAGAAGGACCATTATACCCTTGCAGGATCACACTGACTGCTTTTTCAGTGATGTGCCAGGCTGTGATGGTGCTTGGACTGTCTCCTAACATTTCTATAGACAAGGGCTACTCAAACAGCAACTCCAGGCTTGGGCCAAACTCCAAGTACTCTTTATGTAGACAGGCAAAGTGTCAGACACAAAGTTTTTCACTTTAGTGCAGGAGATCCACTTGCTTTCTCTTCCCCGACCTGGAGACCTGTGCCAGGCATTGCCCAAGTCTTAACTCTTCAATAGGAGGTGCCTCTCTGAGCTGCCCTTTGGCCATGGTACCTAATGGGTAGAGGTATGAATTCCCCAGTCAGACCTGGCCAAATCCTGTGCTAGACCTGAGCACAAACCAGTTCTACCAAAGGTTTAGGTAGTGAATGAACTAAAACTGGCTGCTTACCCGCCAAGTTGTACAAGGCCAGCATGAGGCCCGGCCCTATGGCTTGTAGCATTTTGGTATTTTTGACAAAGTCATTCGGCATTTTGATTTCCCCATGGAACAAACAGTGGGACAACCCAAAAATAATAAATAGCCTTCGTGCACAAATACCTTGAATCATTAGAAACTGTTGCTCTGTGAGTTTGCTGGGAATCTGTTACTGCTTTTATATTTTCATAGGGATGTAGTCTAACCATTGCTGGACAGAGGTAAACATGAGTAACCCAGTTTTGTTCTTAGACTTGGGATACTGCAAATAGCTGAGAAGTCCTGAAGTTTTTGTATCTAACCAGATGAAACTGGGGGAAATGAAATATTTCATACTAAACTGAGGCAAAATATGCCTTAGTGATCTATAAGGCAGTCTAATAATTTTGGGTTCAAAGATGTCTAATGTTGAATTATTAAATGACTGAGCCTAGTTTTCTTTTAGAAAGGGTGAATTAGTGATACTCATCTATCAGCTGGATCCAAAGTATTACAAAAACTGTCCTAGAAATAGAATGAGAAATAGACCAAAAACTCAGAACTCAGGCTTGCAAATAAAACAACATTTTGTGACTGGTTGTTCACTAACATATGTGAAAGAGGGGCTATATGTTACATGTGTTTTGTTGTTGACAGTGTTCCCAATGCTGTATGGTAAATGCTTGAACAGTATCACCTTCTGTTCTGCCTCCTTCACCTACAGGAGCAGCTGTGGTGGTGAAGGGGCAGTGTGAGGCACTGCCAGCCCTGACTTCCAGCAAGTGTCCATCTGGCACCCGAGCCTCAGGCAGCACCACGTCTGTGTCCTGTGCCATACCCACAGCTCTGGAACCATGCAAGGAGAACAAAGTTTGTTCTAAACGTGAATTTAATGTGCTTTCAGATTTGACAGCCTCTTTTAAAAGGAAACGTTTAAGTTGAGCGAAAGGCACATTTGCCTCTCCAAATAAATGGAATTATGGTTCAAAGATCTGACTTAATCCCGAGGCTCTTGCACTGTGCAGTAAGTAGGAAAGAAAGGGGATTGCTCTGAGGAGCAGGGGTTAGCAGGATCAGGGGCTGTTTTATATCATCTCATTTTCCTTCTGGTATTTAATATACTTTCTTCTCAACTTGCACTGGCTGGTTCTAAAAAGACCCAGTAGTATCATTCATTAACTAGTGGCAAATAAACTATTAATTGAAACTAATGAAGGATGGTACAGGGAGTTCCCATCCAGCTCTCCTGCTAGGAAAATTTGATTATTGTTAAGCAAACAAAAATGCCGTTTTTCCAGCTGTATTCTCTCATATGGTTTCATCTTTTTTCAGTTCATTTCAGGACTTTTCTCAAGTGCATTTTACTTGTTATAACTATTTGTTCTTTTTCTACTTAAAAAAAAAAAAAAAAAAAAGTATATACAACTGTGTTTTAAAATCTACATTGACATTTCAGTGATTTGAAGGAAGATGTTTATACAGTAACAGTGCCATCTATATTTATTGTATCTCTACAAACAGAAGTTTTGATAAGATAAAATTAAAATATGCATGTGATGTTTTTTGTGTGTTTTAATGACATCTGTATGTTTCTAGTTACGATTTTGGTGCCTGCCCCCACATTACCTGGCTGGTTAAGGAAAGTGAGATCAATATTCTTACTTCTCCAACGTGTCATTTTATTCATTAACCCCAATGCTGCTGGCTGTGCACTCTGAAATCAATGATTTGTCTTTGAGCTATTTCTTTTTCTGTCAAAGCCCTGAGGTACCCGTATTCCAGGCAGTAACTGCATCTGTGGGACATGCTAACATGGAAAGGAACCTGGGCAGGAGGAGCACTGTGCTTAAAGAGAGCATTCGAGGAGAGTCTTCAGCAAAGATTAAAATGAAGAATGAATGATATTTATTGTGGCAGTTTTCTTCATAGGCTGCAAAAATATGTGTATAGAGATTTGGATAAAGAAGGTTTTGTAAGCTTGATTTCAGGCCAAAGCCCTCTTGTGTGGAAAAAATAACCTAAAGAAAACCTCCTTAAAGATGAGACAGTCCTGCTGGTGCAGTCTACCTGGCAGGCACTGCTTGCACTGCTGTGGTGTGACCCTGGGAGGGAGTTTTGACCATGGCCTTCCATCTGCTGAGGCGAAGCTTTGTGTTCTGGGGCTGCTGCTTGCTTCTGGTGTGGGCTGCTGGGTTCTAGTGCAGTGTAACTGCATGACCCGCTGCTATACACACCACTGGGAAATCAGCTTTTGTGACAGGGAACAGACCTCAATTTCCTAGAATAAGTCTATTATTAAAATATTCCCTATTTTTCTTCCTACCTTCCCCAAGCCATTCCAGCTAAAAGCTTCTCTAAGTGTGTGGAGGCAGCAGTGCTCACCTTCCCACTCTGTTTACATGATGACTGCCAAAATAAACCTGGATGCAGCGACCCAACCTGTCCAGAGGCCTCAGAAAGCTCTTGGCCACCTGTGGGCTCTCGTTGGGTTTGGGGAGACACGAGGATACGAGCAGGTGTCCCCAGGGCTGAAGGTGTGTGGTGCTGAGGCCCTGCTCCTGCGAGCACTCAGTGTCTTGTGCATGCACTCTGGGACTTGCTGTGCTCTGGAGGATGTTCAGTGACTGCGGAACGCCTGGCCCCAGAGCATCTCTCATTCTGGGACATCAGGGGCACACAGCCCCATTACACAGCATTACGTTTGAGTTCATTTTTAGATGAGTTTAGTCCCCAAAGCACCTCCTGTGATGTGCTGCTGCCAAATATGGGACAAGAGTAGATGAAGGATTGCTGTGCTGCAGACCTACAGCCCTGGAGTTGAGGACGGTGGGCAGCAAAAGGAGGGAAGTAGGATGTTGCACCTGTGTGATGGGCAATCACAAGGCACAAGTGGGGCCGTGTCAGCCTTTGTCCCAAGGACTCAAACACTGCCTTTCAGCACTCATATCCTTTTTCTTCTTAAGAATAAAAAAAAAATAAAATAATTTAAAAAAAATTTGGTTTTGCTCAGCCACGTGCTGCTCCATCCCAGCACAAAGCACAGCACGATGCACAGCCGTGAGCAGCGCCTGCCTGGGGGAATTCGGGGCATTTCGCAGCTTTCAGGCACAGGAACAAATTGTGAACTGCGGCGTTGCATCCATGTGTGAACACACACGCAGCCACCAGCAGCTGATGCTTCACACTAATCACTCTTATAAATGCCTCTAATTAGACTCATAAATACCTCTAACTTTCCTACAGGGAGCAAAATGCCTGATGGGCTTCGTGTAAAATCTGGGGGGGGAAAAAAGAGTTAAAAAGATGAGTAAATCTGTTTTTAAACCTGGCGAGTCCTAGAGCGGTGCTCTTGAAAATCCAACAGGAATCCTAAATTGCGGAGCCCTGCACCCCCCGGAGCCGCAGCGTGGGCAGATTGGGGGCGAGCAGCCGGGGGAGGGGCTGCAGCCCTCCGCCTTTGTACCGGAGGGAGAAACATTGGGATCCTGCGGCGAGGGAACACAGAAACCCTCAAGGCAGAGAGAAATAGGCGCAGACAAAAGCCCGTTACATGGTTGCAAATCACCCCACTGCTGTTATTTTATTTACCGCTGCCGGCAGGAGGATTGTTTTCTCTTGCAAAAATTTAAGCTCTTTTTTTTTTTTTTTTCTTTTCCCCTACTTTGCTTTTTTATTACTGTTTTTTTGTTGTTGTTGTTTTTGTTTTGTTTTGTTTTGTTTTGTTTTGTTTTTTGTTTTCCCCTCCCTCTCAGCCACTGACCCCACAGTGCAGTGAGCCCAATGCCCTGGGTGCTGCTTTGGGGAACCCCTCCTTGACCCACGGTGCACGGGGAACCCCAGACCCATCCTGCAGTGCTGGGGATCATGCTCATGGAGCAGCGGGAAACTCTGCCCTTTTTTCAAGGAAATTATGTATTATTATTGTTACTGAGAGGGTGTAAAAAAGAGAAACAAAGCCCTCTGGGGAACTAGAATTATTGTGTGCTGGTTTGGGATAAATGCTCCCCTTTCAGTGCTCAGGTGACGCCTTCATCTCCCCCAGCCTCTGAGATGTTCCAGTTGATGACCATTGGAGTTCAACCATCGATGAATGTGAGTCCTAGCAAAAACAATGGGGTCCCTTCCAGCTCTGGATGTTCTGTGATTCTGTGCAATGAGAGATGCTCTGGCATGGGTCTGGGTTTGCCAATGCTTCTCCCACATTTAACGTCCATAAAACCCCACTGGGACATTATCTGCCCAGCATGTGAACATATCATTGAACTAGTCAGGGAAGGAGGGAACACCAAAGTTGCCCATGTCCCTGTGGGAATGAAGCAGCTCCCATCCTTGTAAATACATTTTGTTAGTGGCCACAACAGCCATAGGGGATGTGGAGGGGATGAGGAAAACCCCAGCCAGGTTTCACCCCTGCCAGCTGCTCGCAGGAGCTCCTGAGGTGTCTGGACAGGTAATTAGTGCCTGGTCTGCAGGATCCCTCCCGTCCTCTGCCCAGCACATGCAAGGAGCGGCAGGGCTGGATTTTTGATGGCTGATTTAGCCCGAACAAAGGCCCCAAACAGCACTGAGCGCCCGACTCAGGGATGGAAACTTTAGAGCCAACGGGCTCCTTTCCCATCAGTTAAAAATAGTGTTATTTTTTTTCTAAGCTGATAACATTTTAAACATTTTGCAAGACAGAGTTTTCTTGGGAGGCAGGGAAACCTGTGCGTTTGCTATAAAAGAAACTTCTGTGGATAAGGAAATGTTTCCTGTGAACTCACCTGTTGCCAGCCAAGGAGAAATGTTCGGTGTTTCATTTCAATCGAGAATTCACTGCTATCTGGTGCTTTATCTAACCTCACTCTTTGGAAGATTTGATGTCATGCTTGGCAGAGCCCTCAGATCCACGCGGCTTTATGGTGCTGCTCTGCTAAAACTCCTCATGTGTTGGTGTACAGTTGAAAATAAAGCCTGAAATCCTCACAGAATGGGCAAACGTGGCCCAAATTGGCCTTGAATTTTGAAACAGGAGTTGATATAAGCACCTCTGTGCAACTCTCCCAGTGTCTGAGCAGTGCCAGGCAGTGCTATTTGCTGCATAGGAGAGGTCTCTGCCACACAGCCACTGGTTTTTATTGCATGTTGTATAGTGGCCCTTACTGTTTAACTTTACATAGAGACTGATGTCGAAGGGCAGCCTTAGCTTCTCAGAACCTGTACAACACTAATGGCTGCATGGGCCAACATCTGCAACCATTTTGGTCTTTGTGGTTTACAGAGGTCGCCATCAGGTGGAGTGGGATACTAAAACGTAAGCCCATGCTTCAGCCACAATAGACTACGTATTTTTTTCAAGTAAATCAGCTTTTTGCAAATAGTGTTTTTTTGGGGCAGTGTTTGGGGCTGCCCTTTGCCTCAGATGGTGGCAGGTTCCAAGGAAGATGCAACAATGATCTCCAGAGATCCCTCCCAACCTCTATGACTCCATAACAACAGCCAGCTGGGACACAGCCTCTGATGTGCTCACAACCTGACCCACCCTGGCTGCCTGCTGTAGCACTGAAGTTGCCCACAATCAAGGTGAATGTAAAATTACTACTAATTAACTATTTCATTGGGCCATATGCAATATGGTCCTGTAACTTCTAATTATGAGCACTTTGTACATAAGGTGGCATGTGGTCTGGTTTCAGACACTTAGGCCTTACTGCTCGGTGGATCACCCAAGGCCACACATAGGTAACCTTTTCTGCAGTGCAAATGCTGCTTAATTGACTCAGTAGGTCCCAGCTGTGGCTGTAATTAGTTTATAAGTTGTGCCACCTGTGTGCTGGTTGCCTTTCTTTTTGGATCTGCTTGGTGGTCAGCAGTTGCTGCTGCTTCTAGGTAAGGTTTTGTTGTTTTTTTTTTTTTTACTTTTGTTTTTATTTTCAAAGTACTGTCAGAAACGTGGTTTGTTTGTTTGTTGGGGAAACAGGAAATATATATCTGCTTGAGGAGAGGGACAGGTGTGTAAAGAGGGCTGTTCTGCGGGAGGTCTGTTGGTTTGTTTAGCAATGCTGTGAGCGTGCTGTGTGACTAAGTGTCCCTTAAATCTGCTGGTTCTCCTGAAACAATTGGGTTGAACGTGGCAAGTTTGTGCTGAAGCTGGGAACAAGTAATGTATTAAGCTGCAAATGGCTACTAAGTGAATTCTGTGCTGGGAAAGCAGGTGTTCTTCATCTGGGAGGGCAGTGCTGTGTTGTTACTAACTCTGAGTAAGGCAATGTTTGCTGCTTTGGTAACATCTAAACTAATGTACATCCCCAGGCTGTGTTATTGCCCTCATTGGGAACGGGCTGTGCTGCAGAAGACTGCCGAGAGCAGTCCCCTTCCCTACCCCAAAGGAGGGCTGTGGGGATGGTGGGGATGAAGGCAGCATCTTGCCCCAACTCTCACTGCAGTGCTGCTCCACGCAGCTCTGTGTTGGGTACCAGGCAGCCATGTGAATGTGTGAGTCAGGGCCATATCAAATAAAGGTGCCTGTCTTTCCCAGCAGCAGGGAAGAAACTAAAGAGAAAGAGTTGTATTAAGTGCTGTATGAGCTGTGTCGGGCTCTTCATCTGTGCATAACTTATCCTTATTAAATTCTGTAATGACTTTAATAATGACTAATGTGATGCTATAACAAAGAGTGGTTATTGCTACTCGGAGTTCAGGAGATGAACATTAAGAACATTTAACAGGCAGGTAGGTTTAAATACTTGGTTGGAAACTGCTGGAGCCAGGCTCCCCGATCCCTCTCTGCAGTTTCTGCACTGGCTCTGGATGTACCTTTATAGACTTAAACAGCTTGAGGCTTGTCCCTTGCTGCAGGGGCTTAGAGCAAAGTCGTGTTTTGAGGTTTTATACTCTGAGCTGCAGTTCAAGAGCCCTGCAAGGGGAGGTAAGGGAAGGCGTAACAAGGTCATTTTGAACCACATGGATTCAGATTGTACCTTTAAAGTCAGTAATTGAAAGCTGAGGGGCAGAGGAGGCAGGGTGGTTATGTGGTGCAGGTTTATTTTGATGCTGAATGCCAGGTGAGCTGTGATCTGAATAGAGTGGCACTGGGAGGGGGCCCAACAGGGATGGAGGAGCTCAGGGAGGTGGTCCCTCCCCAGGCCCTGGTGCTCCTGGGTTGGTGGTGGCATGTGAGGGTAATGACTGAACTGTGTATTTAGACAAAACTCCACCAGAAGATTTTGTGGTATTTTTATTGCACTGGAGAAATGATCATAAGCAGAGTTGACCAGGTATGGGTATTTTAAAAAGGATCTGAAGAAAGCGGTGGTGTCAAACTGAGCAATAGAGTTGTTTTTCCTGTCTGATCACGAGATCATCTGGTGACACAAGCACAGTTTTCTTTAGCTTTGCTTGTTTTATACCAGAATATTGACCTCTTTCTAAAGGCTACCCCTTCTGCCATGGGAAGTGCCCACAGAGCTCACTGTGTGCAATCCCAGCCCGGTGCAGCCTGCCCAGCTCCTGGGCCTTCTCCCTTCTCCAATGAGTGATGCTGGGTCAACTCTTTGTCCCAGTGCTGTCACTGGGGAGAGCCGTAATTAGCACAAGCTTTCTCTTTCTTTTCTTTGCAACTTCATTTTCCCCCCCTTTTCTCATACTGTGAATAAGGAAAGTAGTGTGATCTGTGGTGGCTTCCCTGATTTCTGAAAGGGGAGACTTCTTGCTAAAGGAAGAAGGGTGAATGTTAGGATGTATTCTGTGTGCTTCCTGGAAATGATGAGTTGCCTGCAGTGCTGGTGTCAATTCCCACTCTTCTGGGGTCTGCAACAGAAACCACATGGAAATCTGCTGCATGGTGTGAGACCTGAAGGAGTAACTCCTCTTGTGGCTGTCTTTGGGCTGTTGTCATTCACAGCTGTCAGTCATTACATATTGGGTTGTGTGATGGTTCAGAAAAGCATGTGCTTGGGACAGTGGTAATGTTGATGCCAATCCTTTTGACTGTAATTTTACCAAAAAGCTCCTTGTTTCTCCTTATTCTTAAAAATAAAATAAAATAGTATGGGATATTTGTCAAGTCATATGGTAGTTACTTTTAATTTGTGCATCATGTATTTGCTGGTGAGTCTAGTCCAGCTTTTTAACTTCAGAAATTTTTTATAATGGCTTAAGCTACAACAGCCTTTCCCAGTGGCTCTTACTATGAGAAAGTCATCTCAACTGTGAATTTCTTCCGAAGTCCAGTGTGATGGTGTTTATGTCATTATTTATGGAGGATTAAGTTGGTCCTTCCACCAGCATTACGTACTGACTCCTAAGTATATTGAAGACTTGCATGGACTGGCAGTTGTGTTGACTGCTTGTGCAATATCAGGACCCAAAAGACAAATATGAGGTGATGGTTTGCCTCTTCGTGAAACTCCTCTTACTTATCAGTTATGAATGTCACGTTGGTTTGGTTCTGGTATTTCTGAATATATTGCTGTAAAGTTCTGCTCTGGCCTAAGTCTGGTATATTGTTCTGGAAACAGAAGCTACTGTGCCTGTTCTTACTGGAGATTAAGTGTAGATATGTGTGTTTTTGGAAAAGCTGAAGAATATTTAGACTGATTTCTACCCCACCCCCCTCTCTCTCTCTCTCTCTCTCTCTCTCTCTCTCTCTCTCTCTCTCTCTCTCTCTCTCTCTCTCTCTGGAATCCTAAATGGTTATAACAAGATTAGCTTCTTACTACCTCTCTCCCAATTTCTCCTTAAGTCTTTTTTGTCACTTTTGAGCAGAGCTGTCATAGGAAATCCTTTACTCTTCATCTTGCTAATATGTATGCTTAATCATCTGTATTTGAAGCATGAATTGAGAGAATATTTAAGTATGTTGAATAAATGAAATCACCCAGTGGTACCACGAGTGTGACCCTCCCTATTGATCCTGTTGTTATGTTCTAATATTGCTTAAATCAGAACAATGTGTATTTGTTTTATTGATTTAATAATGTGTATTTCAGGGGCATGAGGGACCAAAGTTGTAATTCTGAGGTCCTGCTGATGTAATCAAATAAAAGCCTTTGTGTTGTCTTGAGACAACTACAAAATTCTATTTCCTTTAGTTGATGGAGTCTGAAGGTGAACAATTTGAGCTCACGTGGTCCTGTGCTGTGAGCTGTGTGAGGTAGGGGAGACCAGTGTGCCTACACCAAACTGAGCCAAGAGAGGAACGTGCGTTTGGCCTCGGTGCCTTAATGTTTTACATCAACTACAGGCAAATGTCACATCTTGAGTTTTAGATTCATATTTCTAGACTTGATCACTGCAACTGATGCATGGAACGGGGGTGGGATAGAGGAAGCTGAACTGAGTTCCTTCACCTTTATTTTATAATGTGGTGCTAATTGCACTGCATCATCTCAGTTTATTCCATCCAGTGAAGTGGTCCAACTACTAGGAAAAAAAAAATCAAATGAAGATGTGTCCAGGATCAGAAGCTATTCCATGCAAGCTCTTCTCACCCAATGGTGATATTGTGGGGATTTTCTCCTTCTGGAAAATATTAGTCTGACTAATTAAATTTATTCCACTAGTAATTCATTTGGGTTTGCCAATTAATGAGGCATTGCCAGTTAACAAAGCATCACCAATTAAGGCTATATCAGATATCTAGAATTGCCTACCTGTGGTTTATAGGGGATATCTGTCTCTTCATTATTAGTGTGAGGTTTTTCGTTGTGTGATCTATCCTTTTTTTTTTTTTCTTCTAATACTTCCAAACTAATTAATATTTTGGATCTTCTTTAACTATCAAATGGGGTTGCAATTATAAGCACATTCTTAAAGCTCTTAGTACTGAAAGGAAGACATAAATAACTTCCAAATCTGTGAGACAATGCCGAGAAATGTACTTGCTTAAATTTAATCCATCACTCTGTGCCAGCAACGCATATAGCTGAAAGGTCAGAGAATCATTGAGAAGGAGAAAAACAATTAATTTGGTATCAAAAAGGTAATAGGATAAGGCCTTGCCAACCCTCTCCCATTGTTCTGCCGCATTAACTTCAGCAGGTCAGATGCCACTGGTCGTTGACCTCAGGCTAAACAGGGTCAGCCCAGGCTGATTACAAAAGAGATGTGTTTGCACTTATCCAAGTATGTCTTAAAAAAACCCGAGCCCGCATTTGTGTTGTTCCTGGGGAGGAACGCACAAAGGGTAAACATTTTTCACTGCAAATATAACTCGCAGGAGATTCAGCATCTCCCATCTCCATGTGGTCGTCCTGACCGCTGTGGTGCATTGCCAGCCCAGATCCCCCAGTAGGTGCATATCTTGGAACTGGTGATGCAATGAGAAAATAGGCTATGAAAAGAACTGCTGAAAATCTATTGCAAGTATTTTTTTTTTTCTTGACTTTACTGCCAGTTATGATTTTGCCATGGTAGTTTGGTGGGCTGACAATTGGACCCAGTGATTTTAGTGGTTTCTTGCAACCTTAATGAGTTTATGATTCTCCTCAGCATTGCTGCAGAGGTTGGGTTTCCAGCACAGCTCTCTGTGGCTAAGGCCCAGGTGGAGATACTGTATCTGCATCTCTTTTTCTCTTCTTTCAGCAACTCTTAATGCTTTTGTTGATCTTCAACCAAAGTGGTAAGAAGCTTCAAGCTTCCACAAGGCTTGTGGCAGCAGACTGTAGGGCACAGAGGTTCTGGAAGTCTCTCAGTGAAGAGGAGGAAAGATTAATAATGCCAGCTCGCTTTTAATGGCAAAGTAATCACTGGGGAAAAGAGATGGTGTGACCCAGTCATAGTTATGGTTGGAGAGAAGACGAGCATAAGATATAAACTGTGAGAAACATGGGATCTGTAGCTCTTCAGCTTTCTGAGGCTAACCAGTCCCTGATGGAATGGAAGGGGCT